ATAAAATTATTACAAAAAGTATAATAAAGTATATATATAAAAATAGATCTGTTTCTATCAAATAATGAACCATTTTTCTTAGCCATGATGAGTAATTTGGTCTTATAAATAGAAAGGAAGGAAGTGTTGCTGTAATTTAATTTGATTTAATGATGCTGATGAAAATGATGTCCAAATAGAGGTCAGGTATTACAAAAATGGATGAAGCTTTTTACAACCATATTTGACTTGATTGTTATTTCAGAATGTTTATTGATCATCCTGGATTTATGATTCAGCTTTGCATATCTGTAATTCGTATTATATTCCCATTTGTATTCAATCCATTTTATCAATGCAAAGACACTCTTTGCTTTAATTAAAAGATATTTACTTTGTTAAATGATTGTTTCATATAAATTATGCTATGTACTGCAGGAGTTATTTTAACTTTCATATATAGTATTTTTTTTTTATTATTTGTTTAATGTTTTTATATTTATTTATTTAAATTGCATTATTTATCTGTTAATGATATTTATTTCTATTATTTTTTTATAAATTTTTTGTTATTTATTCTGTATTAGGTTATTTTATAGAATTTTTTTTTATATAGTAGTTAATTTGTTGTTGTTATTTAATAGTTTATATTTGGTATTAAATTTTTTGATAATTTTTTGTTATTAAATTATTTTGTTATTTTGTATTTAATGTATACATTTATTTAAATGTTAATTATTTTAACCTTTGATTTAATTTATAAGATGTTTCTATTTATATAATATGTTATATGCTATTTTTAAAATTTAGTTTTATGTTGTTTTAGTTGTATGCTGTTTTAGTTTTATGCTTTTATTTAGGTTTTTTAGTTTTATGTTGTTTTTTATTTCCTTTTATATATATATATATATTATTACAATAAATATGTTTAAAATATTAAATTTCATTAAAAATAAAATTTAAATAAATATCAAATATAAAAATAAAATACAAATTACAAAATATTAACGCAAAATATTTAATATTTAAATAAAGGCTTAAATACCTACTTAGTCCCCGTGTTAATAGCTGAATTGTCATTTAATACCCAGTTTTAAAAATGAAGACATTAGGTCCCTATATTATGAAAAGTGTATGACTTTAGTCCTGTCCGTTAAGTTGGTAGTAACGGTGTTAACTCCACGCTGACGTGGCTACGCTTCTTTTCTCTCTCCTCTGCTCTTCCTGACACCTTCTGCTTTGAAACTCTCTCTATGTTATTTTTATTTATTTTTATTTTGTTGGCTGCACTGTTGGCTGCTTCAAATTTCATCTACCAACAACACTTATAGTATTCACTCTGACCCTGTTTGAGGAATTTTTTTCATTTGTAGTATTGAAATTTGAACTTTATGTAAATTATTCTTAGTTTAAATATTAGTACAGTTTTTTTTTTGGCATGAAAATCAGTTTTTAACAAAATAATCTAATTCAATAAAAAATAAGCAAAGTTTAATGAAGAGTTATTTCTACCAAAAATTGTATTTAAACTATGTCAAAACAATTTAATCTAGATTCAGTACAGTGTCGTTCAAATAATTTCTTGGTGTACTATGTATTATGATTCAGTGGTTTGATACTAAAATGTATACATTTAACATGTTTTAGTAAGGTTAAAATTTATAATAGTTTTTAAGCAAAAAAGAAAAGAATCACAATAGTAGAAAGACACATGAAAAAAATAAAAAAATAAAAAACTTCTGGAAAAATCATAGCAGTTATTGTAAAAAAAATGGTAAGGAACTTGTTCTTTTAAAACAAATTAATTTTAATTTTAATATTTTTATTTACATTTGTCAAACTTTATTTTGTCTGTTCTTATTTGGTACTTGTTACTATATGGACGTAAGATATTTTTCCATCTAATATTAAATATTTAGACAAAAACTTTAAAATTACAAAATGATAAAAATAATTGCTTAAAATGACCCAAATCAAAATTTACATGTTTTACTGTAATAAAACAACAATTTTAGATTTTAAAGGAAAGAGAGCTATTTTATTACAAAAACTAAAACAACATTTTCTTTCACTCTAAATTTAAATTATAAAAAGGAGATTATATAAAAATGTAAATTATTTGAAGTATTTATTCGAAATTAATTTGAATGTTCAAACTTCAAAGAAAGTCAAAATATAGGCAAAACCCTTGTCTCTCCCGTCTGTGTCATTACACGCTAGCAGCATCCAAAAACAAAATAAAAATAAATAAAAATAACATAGAGAGAGTTTCAAAGCAGAAGGTGTCAGGAAGAGAAGAGGAGAGAGAAAAGAAGCGTAGCCACGTCAGCGCGGAGTTAACACCGTTACTACCAACTTAACGGACAGGACTAAAGTCATACACTTTTCATAATATAGGGACCTAATGTCTTCATTTTTAAAATCGGGTATTAAATGACAATTCAGCTATTAACACGGGGACTAAGTAGGTATTTAAGCCTTAAATAAACTAATAGAAAAAATAAAAAACAAATTAAATTTAAAAAACAATTAAATATAATAAAAATCAAAAGAAGGAAAAGCCATCACTTGACAACAGTTCAAGCTACAGTGAAATTGCACTTTCAAGTACAAGTATGAATCGCACTTTCAACTGCGCATTTTAAACTGTTTAGTGTGGAGAGTTCTACAACCCCTATTTTAACGCCGCTCTCAACCAATACGGTTAAGGCATCGACCTTCGTCCCATCCAGTCCAGAAACGTATCACAGCACATATAAACAATCCATACAAACAAATATCATCACATACAATCTTTCTATCATACAAAGCTTAAGCAAAGAACAACCAACCTGGATGCCCAAACTAAGAAGAACCACCTCACCACAATACCACCATGACGACCACCAAGGATAGGTATGTGCACGACCACAAGTAAAGTGAAGGGGAAGGAAAGATGGGAGGAACACTACGCTATAAAAGAGAAGATAGGGATGTAGGATTGACAAAAAAAGTGAGATGAGTGAGGTGGAGGAAGAAGCACTCTTTAATAAACTATGGTTGCAAGTTTATCCAAGCATAAGGAAGAAGAAGCATTGTTGTGTGAGAGCACAACGATGACAATCCTGGACTCTTCAATTGCTTTATGAAGTGCTGGTGTGCTAGAGAGAGCTTCCTAGATATTACCAGTGAAACTTTTCTCTTTTTTCTCTGCAAAGTCAACCNCATTTTCCCTTTTGAAAGCATTCCATATAAGCAATTGAAGAGAATCATTAAAATTCAATGCCTCCATCTCATAAGTTCTTTTAATCCCATGAGATTTTAGCAGCTGTTCGTCCCGAGTGGTAATGATAACCCTGCTGCCGGGTCCAAACCAATCAGCACTTCCAGCAAATGCTTCTAACTGCTCTCTGTTGTCAACATCATCTAGAATCAAGAGAACCTTCTTTCGCCCCAGCCTCTGCTGTATCATTGATGCTCCTTCTTGCCAACTTGTTAAGATGATATTCTTCTCTCTAAGCATTTTTGAAAGAAAGATGCTTTGGAGGTGTTGTAGCTCATCTTTGTTTTTTGAATTTTTTCTTACATTTTGAAGAAAACATGATTCATCAAAATAAGCAGCAATCGAATTATAAACTACTAGAGAGAGTGTTGTTTTCCCTAACCCACCCATTCCATGGATCCCTATCATGTGGACAACATCTTCCGATCCAACATCCAAAAGTATCTGGACTTTCAGCACCCGTGACGGTAGGCCAACTGTGTAATCCGCAACATGTAAAGGAGCATGATTAATCACCGTGGAAACCCGTTCAAGAATGCTCTCAATAAACTTGTACTCGTATTCATCCCTGTTCCAAACATTAAAGTATAACTAAGCTAAACTAGAAGCATTGTAAACATGTCTTGATACGTATAGTAATTTTCAATAAAATAAAAAGATTGGTAAGTGGGTACCCATCTCCCAAGTGATAGCCAGACAAGTCAGCAACTTGACGCAGAGCCATTTTCCATTTATTTAACTTCTCCTCCTGCCCTTTGAACCTCTTTTGATGCTTAGCCAATGCTTCTTCATAGCTATCTTTCTGATGTCTGACATTAGAAGGATCCACCTTATAAAACACTGGTATAACCAACAGCCCTTTACTCTGGCAGTGAATTATAGTTGCAAGTTCATCCAAGCAGAAGGAGGAAGAAGCATAGTTGTGAGAGAGCACAACGATGGCAATCCTAGACTCTTCAATTGCTTTCAGAAGCGCTGGTGTGATTTCCTCTCCGCTTTGAAGTTTGTCATCATCCATGAAAGTGTGAAGTCCCCTGTCACAGAGAGCTTTGTAGAGATAACCAGTGAAACCACGACGCGTGTCTTCCCCTCTAAAGCTGAGGAACACATGGTACGTGAATCTACGGGAACTTGGAGTTGCCATTAGAACAAAGTCTGGAATGATAATTGTTAGCGTGTTGGGACAGTAAATGGAAACTTTATATAAACATAAAATTATTATGGGAAATTTAGCTCTTATAAATTTCGCATAATAATTTTACCAAAAATAATAAAAAATTATTTTTGGTAAAAGTATTAATCTCCTTTAAAAACCGAGTTTATTCTAAAATATTCTGAAAAAGGGATCAACATTATTACACTATGTATAACCCCCACTCTACGTTACGAGACAGGTGTTCATCACGTTTCAAGTTCTTAGAAATTTTCCAAAAAAAAGTATACACACAATTATTTAGAATAATTGGCAGATCTGTTTAAATTTGCATATAATAAAGCATAAAATTATTACAAAAAGTATAATAAAGTATATATATAAAAATAGATCTGTTTCTATCAAATAATGAACCATTTTTCTTAGCCATGATGAGTAATTTGGTCTTATAAATAGAAAGGAAGGAAGTGTTGCTGTAATTTAATTTGATTTAATGATGCTGATGAAAATGATGTCCAAATAGAGGTCAGGTATTACAAAAATGGATGAAGCTTTTTACAACCATATTTGACTTGATTGTTATTTCAGAATGTTTATTGATCATCCTGGATTTATGATTCAGCTTTGCATATCTGTAATTCGTATTATATTCCCATTTGTATTCAATCCATTTTATCAATGCAAAGACACTCTTTGCTTTAATTAAAAGATATTTACTTTGTTAAATGATTGTTTCATATAAATTATGCTATGTACTGCAGGAGTTATTTTAACTTTCATATATAGTATTTTTTTTTTATTATTTGTTTAATGTTTTTATATTTATTTATTTAAATTGCATTATTTATCTGTTAATGATATTTATTTCTATTATTTTTTTATAAATTTTTTGTTATTTATTCTGTATTAGGTTATTTTATAGAATTTTTTTTTATATAGTAGTTAATTTGTTGTTGTTATTTAATAGTTTATATTTGGTATTAAATTTTTTGATAATTTTTTGTTATTAAATTATTTTGTTATTTTGTATTTAATGTATACATTTATTTAAATGTTAATTATTTTAACCTTTGATTTAATTTATAAGATGTTTCTATTTATATAATATGTTATATGCTATTTTTAAAATTTAGTTTTATGTTGTTTTAGTTGTATGCTGTTTTAGTTTTATGCTTTTATTTAGGTTTTTTAGTTTTATGTTGTTTTTTATTTCCTTTTATATATATATATATATTATTACAATAAATATGTTTAAAATATTAAATTTCATTAAAAATAAAATTTAAATAAATATCAAATATAAAAATAAAATACAAATTACAAAATATTAACGCAAAATATTTAATATTTAAATAAAGGCTTAAATACCTACTTAGTCCCCGTGTTAATAGCTGAATTGTCATTTAATACCCAGTTTTAAAAATGAAGACATTAGGTCCCTATATTATGAAAAGTGTATGACTTTAGTCCTGTCCGTTAAGTTGGTAGTAACGGTGTTAACTCCACGCTGACGTGGCTACGCTTCTTTTCTCTCTCCTCTGCTCTTCCTGACACCTTCTGCTTTGAAACTCTCTCTATGTTATTTTTATTTATTTTTATTTTGTTGGCTGCACTGTTGGCTGCTTCAAATTTCATCTACCAACAACACTTATAGTATTCACTCTGACCCTGTTTGAGGAATTTTTTTCATTTGTAGTATTGAAATTTGAACTTTATGTAAATTATTCTTAGTTTAAATATTAGTATAGTTTTTTTTTTGGCATGAAAATCAGTTTTTAACAAAATAATCTAATTCAATAAAAAATAAGCAAAGTTTAATGAAGAGTTATTTCTACCAAAAATTGTATTTAAACTATGTCAAAACAATTTAATCTAGATTCAGTACAGTGTCGTCCAAATAATTTCTTGGTGTACTATGTATTATGATTCAGTGGTTTGATACTAAAATGTATACATTTAACATGTTTTAGTAAGGTTAAAATTTATAATAGTTTTTAAGCAAAAAAGAAAAGAATCACAATAGTAGAAAGACACATGAAAAAAATAAAAAAATAAAAAACTTCTGGAAAAATCATAGCAGTTATTGTAAAAAAAATGGTAAGGAACTTGTTCTTTTAAAACAAATTAATTTTAATTTTAATATTTTTATTTACATTTGTCAAACTTTATTTTGTCTGTTCTTATTTGGTACTTGTTACTATATGGACGTAAGATATTTTTCCATCTAATATTAAATATTTAGACAAAAACTTTAAAATTACAAAATGATAAAAATAATTGCTTAAAATGACCCAAATCAAAATTTACATGTTTTACTGTAATAAAACAACAATTTTAGATTTTAAAGGAAAGAGAGCTATTTTATTACAAAAACTAAAACAACATTTTCTTTCACTCTAAATTTAAATTATAAAAAGGAGATTATATAAAAATGTAAATTATTTGAAGTATTTATTCGAAATTAATTTGAATGTTCAAACTTCAAAGAAAGTCAAAATATAGGCAAAACCCTTGTCTCTCCCGTCTGTGTCATTACACGCTAGCAGCATCCAGAAACAAAATAAAAATAAATAAAAATAACATAGAGAGAGTTTCAAAGCAGAAGGTGTCAGGAAGAGAAGAGGAGAGAGAAAAGAAGCGTAGCCACGTCAGCGCGGAGTTAACACCGTTACTACCAACTTAACGGACAGGACTAAAGTCATACACTTTTCATAATATAGGGACCTAATGTCTTCATTTTTAAAATCGGGTATTAAATGACAATTCAGCTATTAACACGGGGACTAAGTAGGTATTTAAGCCTTAAATAAACTAATAGAAAAAATAAAAAACAAATTAAATTTAAAAAACAATTAAATATAATAAAAATCAAAAGAAGGAAAAGCCATCACTTGACAACAGTTCAAGCTACAGTGAAATTGCACTTTCAAGTACAAGTATGAATCGCACTTTCAACTGCGCATTTTAAACTGTTTAGTGTGGAGAGTTCTACAACCCCTATTTTAACGCCGCTCTCAACCAATACGGTTAAGGCATCGACCTTCGTCCCATCCAGTCCAGAAACGTATCACAGCACATATAAACAATCCATACAAACAAATATCATCACATACAATCTTTCTATCATACAAAGCTTAAGCAAAGAACAACCAACCTGGATGCCCAAACTAAGAAGAACCACCTCACCACAATACCACCATGACGACCACCAAGGATAGGTATGTGCACGACCACAAGTAAAGTGAAGGGGAAGGAAAGATGGGAGGAACACTACGCTATAAAAGAGAAGATAGGGATGTAGGATTGACAAAAAAAGTGAGATGAGTGAGGTGGAGGAAGAAGCACTCTTTAATAAACTATGGTTGCAAGTTTATCCAAGCATAAGGAAGAAGAAGCATAGTTGTGTGAGAGCACAACGATGACAATCCTGGACTCTTCAATTGCTTTATGAAGTGCTGGTGTGCTAGAGAGAGCTTCCTAGATATTACCAGTGAAACTTTTCTCTTTTTTCTCTGCAAAGTCAACCCTACTCTACGTTAGACAGGTCTTTTCAAGTTCTTAGAAATTACCCATAATAAATGTTAGCGTGTTGGGACTGTCGGCAAGTCTTCATCAAGTTTCAAGTTCTTAGAAATTTTCCATACTAAATGTTAGCGTGTGGGGACTATAAATGGAAAATATATGTCTCAGGTCTTTCTGATTTGCCTCATTATATTGGTCAATGCAAACAATAGCCACACAATAATGCTACTTATTAACTTTCATTGATAAAGATTATAAATTATAAAATGACATAATTAATTAACATGGTTGGTTCACTTGATTTTCAATAATTCTATACCCAATCCAAACAATTGAGTTTAAATTGATTTGTTTGATTAAGTTGGGTTGATCTATGTAATTCATTCCTAATGATCTCAAACTATTGTTTTTACTACTTAGTGCACTTTGATAGTTTTTGCAACTACATTTCTTGTAATGTAAAAATTTTATTTTTACATTATTCGTTTCGGTTAACTGTGAATGCTTTTTAGTTTTTCTCAATTTCAATCTTTCTTCTCTTTCGTCATCTAAAAGCTGATTATATGTTTATTGTTACACTATTTATAATTAATTTTCTATCAGTTTTAAACTTAATTATTACATAATATTTTAAAAAATAAAAATATTTTATCTTTATTTCAAATTTTCATCCTACAATTTGATAATAATTCTATGGATAACTTCAATTTTATAGCAAAAATATAGACTTGGCAGTTAGTTTCGGCTCAACCTAGTTGTAATTCGCATAGGGCTTTTGCTTCCTGTAACCTAATATTGTATTGGGGCTTATTAATATTTAAATTTAAATCTAGATACATTGTAATGGCAAATAACATTGGCAAGGAGGATCCCGTGTAGTATAAAAGGTTATAAAACTTCAATATATTATTAAAGAAAAGGAGTCTTACTTTCATCTACTTTATAGAAATAGTAAAAATATAGCTTATAAGTTAGTTCCAAAAAAATCTTTTTATTTTGACATTTCAAAAATTATATTTTTTTCCTTGTGAAAATAAATACTAGAATTGATGATGATTGATTGTAGTCATGGAGAAAATATTTTAAAAGTAACGTAGAACGAAGTTATAATTTTTGTTTATTGAAATAGTTAAAATTTTGGAGATTTGAATAACATAATCGTATGGAAGACAAAGAGAGAATATCAAGAACAAAACCTATCCCTTCTTAAATTATACTTTTGAGCTTAAATTATATTTTTGGGTAATCGTAATCTTCTCCACATTCCTGCCTCTTTCGATGATTCTCACTGGTCAATTTGTCTGCCCATTTCCTCAATTAGGTCATGCGTTTCAACTATCCCACCTTGACTAACCTTTACAAGAGATTTTTCAACTAACACCCCAGTATGATGTTTCATGCGGTCATCATAGAGAATATCGAGCATATATAATCTCAATCTTCGTCAATTTATATCCTTTGTGTATAGGAATAAACTTAATAATTTAAAAGTTATCAAATAATTTATTAAGAGTGACAGTGATTATTGAATTGTGAAAGGAAGAGTGAGGAAGTTATTCTGTTATGTTTTATAGTCGTGTTATTTGTAATAATTAGGAACAATATGTTCCGTAGATGAAAGGTCTAATATTAGTCCTATGAATTGTAAGACTTATGTATTGAAAGTGTTGAATTCAGAAAATTCTAAGAGTGTTTCCTAACAAACTATTAGATTTATT